ACCCCCCCCCCCCTTGCCTACGCCACTGCCCACACATCATTTCACTCAATCACCCCTATTTCATTCACTCAGCCTTTCTTGAACCAGAAAATGTTACCCCTATAAACTAACACAAATAAACTACAAACTTAACACAGTATCCACATACAAAAAAAACAACAAACACAAATAGTTCACACACTCATAACATACTATACAGTGGTAAATGACAAAATAAACACATTTCACACAAATAAATCACACACTACCCACACTCTAAAAAATGGTAAATCACACATTAAACAAATACTTAGCAAATACTATCCACACACTAGCCATACTCTAACCACATACTAACACAAATAAACCACACACTAACCATGGTAAAACCACACACTAACTATGGTAAAACCACACACTAACCACACGGTTAACTAATTCTTGTCACGTGACAAACACCTTGTAAACACCCACAGGGCACACCATCACAGATCGATTTATTGAAAAGAGAAAATAATAATTAATTAACCTCGTTTTCATAAATTATTGATGCTCAGCATTTCGAAATAGTATTTATACAAAAGCATACTCCGTCTCATTAGTTTTTTTATTCTAACCGCTTTAAACTGACAACAACTTCTGCTCTTTTCACTTTTTAACTGAACAGAAACTAAACAAAAAAAACAACACTTTTGTAAACAAAATTGTGGGCGTGGTCAAGTTGGTAAAGCTCATGGTTGCTAAACCGGAGAGTTCTAGTTCAGACCCTCCAGCTGAAGAGGGTCGACAGCTGGGACAGCAACTTTTCTAGGAGAGACAACTCCAAAATTAAACAACTGCTGCCTTGTAACTTTTCATTGATTGGCCAAAGGCTATGGAATTCCTTTTAACACTAAAATTAAGAGCGAAGAAGAAAAAGAAACAGAATTGTTTAGCTTGATAGATTTAAATATAATTAAAGATCGTTTTAGATAAAAGATGATGGCATATGTAAACATTGTTTTAGAAACGATATTTCAGTGGCCACAAAAACAGAAAAATCTATTTTTTCTAAGCAACTTATAGACAACATGATCGAATGGTGGGGCTTTTGACTTCTAACCCGAAAGTCTCGTTTGGATCGCAAGCTTAGCACGTAGGGAGTCTCTTAGTCCACCCAGTTCTGATCAGTACCTGACTATGTTAGCAATACAAAGGCGGCTGCACAAAGTGCTGTCTACTCTATTCCTATCCAAATCTCAGTGAAATAGATGAACTCTACTTCACTTGCCTTATAGACATAAAGTACTAATGGGTAAATTGTTTATTATTTGTAATTGATCACTTACAGCACACATTTTAATAGGGACATTGATTACCAATAACATCATTTTAAACGCACAAAAATAGTATACCAAAAATAGGAAATTAAACAAGGAAATGTACATAGTAAAACGAACGAATGACATTTGAGAAGTTAAACAACGATACACAAGTAGCAGAGCGCAAAAAAATAATTTATTAAACAAAAACTATATTTCTGTCGCAAAAAGTACAATTTAAAAAGCAATTACATTCGAGAAGCAAACGAAACAGTTGAAACAATGGACATTTATGATGAAGAAGAATAATTGAACGAAGCGACATTTATGGGGTAATCATTACTTTAAACAGAAACATTTATAAAGTAACTACATTACTTTAAACAGCGACATTTTTTAAGGTAACCATTTCTTCATACGACATTTTTAGAGTAACCATTTTACTTTAAACAGGGACATTTGTGGAGGAAACCATATTACTTTTAACAGCGACATTCGCCTCACGAGATCTATAGTTTTTAAAAAGACACATCTGCGCCTTCTCTTGAAAACATCTACACCCTCATAACAAAATTACTTATTATTCTTTTCAATTCACTGTTCTTTATCAAAGTAGAACTGTTGCAAAAACTTAGAAAAAAAATTGATAATTTCGGTTAAATAAGATAGATCAGCTTTTGATAAGTAACAATTCAAGAATATTCTGAATAGAGGATTATATTAATTTAACCCTTTGTAGTCTTCTACCCCGCATAGTTTCCGCTTAACCTTTCAGTGATGTAGTTAATTTAATACAAAATACATCTATGGCGAAATTCATTTATCACAAAGGTATGTTACTTTAGATATCTTTTTGTGCATATGAGACAAAAACAGATGTGGCGAAACCAAGGGGTGAGGATGCGGGATTGGGTGGTGGAAGGAGGGTGCTGTGAGGCTAGTGACGGGGTAGAGAGGTAGAAACCTAGTATTATACTATTTCAACATTTTATTTTAAAAGTCAGTAATGAACAAACAAGAAATCAATAAATTGTTTTCACTTCGACGAAAATGTTACCGAGTGCAGTTGCCAATAAATATTGTTTCCGCCATCCATTTATCAACGTTAACGTCACAAGTCAACGTAAATAAGCGCAATCAGTTGACAGTTATATCAATGTCGTATATGTGTTTCATACTTGTCCTACACGCATGATTTTTTTACCCTGCTATTTAGGAATAAAATACTTTAAAAAAAACTTTTTTTAAAAACCACGTTTTTCTTGTGGACTAAAAAGTAGAAAATATTTTTTTTTTTTTTGTGCTTCCTCGAGCTGTGCAGGTTCTTGTGATGACTGACACAAAACGTGGGTACGTTCACCATCAAATTTCCCGACCCATCTGCCCGACCCACGTTTTTTTATTTTATTTTCTCCTTTTTAGTCCGTTGCTACACATGAAAAACGTGGCTTTTAAAAAAGTTTTTTATATAGTTTATTTTCTACTTCATCTAATGACTTGATTAAGTATGACTTGACTTAGTGTTTATAAATACACGGACTAAAAATCTTGAGCGACCAGGATTCGAACCTGGGTTGTCGCGGCCACAACGCGAAGTACTAACCACTATACGATCACGGCCAGCGCGCTCACATCGATTGCGGCCGAAGTAACTGTGTCAATAGGCCTCCAGTCTTGTCGGTATCTTTAGAAATCATGTCCTCAATTGTATGGCCCTTGGGGCGTAATTAAATTAAGCTAATTACGGTCTCTAATTGCTAGTTTTTATGATTGCATCTGAAATTGTTAGGCGAAAGTAGCCTGCATGCCAAATTTCAGATCTCTAGAGCAATCAGAAGTGGGCTAATTTTCGATGTCAATTTTAACAACAAACAAACAAATCCACAAACGCGAAGCTGAGTTAAGAAAAACGTGTTAAAATTGCTTTGTGAACCAGCCGCATGAGAACTATAAACAGGGGCGTAGCGAGGGGGGGGGGGGGGGCGGGGGGTGCGGACCGCACCGGGTGACACCATTTAGGGGGGTGCACCAAGGCAAAAAATAGCAAAATATATAGAGAAAAACTCGAGGGGGGTGCAAATCGAAAGTTTGAAGGGGGGGGGGGGGGGTGCAAATCGAAAATTTGAAAGTTTGTCCCTGGGAAGGGTCTCTATGCCTCTGGGGGGGGGGGGGTGACACCATTAAGTGCCGCACCGGGTGACACCCGACCTCGCTACGCCACTGAATATAAATATTGTATTTTAATAAATAACAAGCTCGTTTGATAGCCAGCTTAGACGAAAAATTATAATATCATTTATTCATCCATATTTCCCTGATTTTAGTTATAGATTCCAGTATTCTTTTCAAACTTTCTAAACTGTAAACATTTCTCAGTAGTTTAACACGAATACATCCATGTTTTAAATACTAGAAATGTTTATACTAGTGAACAGAGAATATAATAAAGAGCAAAAAACTTCACCGCGAATTTAACTTTTTAAGTCTCTATTCTACAAAATATCAGCGATAAAATATTTCTGTATAAAAATGAGGGCGATAAACAATCGGGATAGAAGGAGTAGAGTTTATCTGTTTTAAAGACCTCGGCATACTCGTGGTCAGCACTATGCCAGGGCGGCTTTTTTTCTTAAGGTAAATCAGGTACCCATCAGAGCGGGATGGACTCTTGGAACGCCAATTTTCTAGATCCAGGGATCAGAACTCGAAACTTTCGGCTTGGCAGTCTAACGCTTTACTGCTCGGCCATGTTATTCCTGCAGTAAAAAATGCTGTAGTATAATTTTAAGTATTAAAATACATGTCTACACACATTACCCTCATTCGATTTTAATGTTGTGTAAAACATACATGCCTAATGTTATTGAAAGTTTTGCGTCTATAAATCGGCCAGCATGTGCAAAACATCTTTAAAACATTTCCGATAACCATAAACCTCCAACCGTTTTTAAAAGACCTCAAATATTTGTTGTAATTTTAAAATAACTTAAAAATGACGCATATTTCAAGCACATATTCATTTTATACATTTATAAGATCAATAGTCAAAGATAGCTAATTAAATTTTTTTAAAAACATTGCCAAACATGTTTTTGTTACCAGTACACTGAATGTTGTTTAATAATATGTACGTTTTCTGTCCTTAAATTCTTTTATTTTAAACTAACCAAACTTTTTTTATATTCCCAGTTTACAAAATGTTGTTGCAATGTATGTACGTTTAATGTAGCTTTCTGTGCTTAAATTATTTTTATTCTAAACTTGCCAAACATTTTTAATCATCAAATTTTGATTTAATGTAGATAACTTTTTTTCTTAAAATTCTTTTAAAGTGTAGGCCAACATTTTAAATATAGCTGTTGACCATATGATATCGGTCACGTGTATAGCTACAATGTAAGTGTAGGCTGTAGGACAACTCACTACAGCTGCCGCCATTCTCGATGACGTAGTTACTTTTCTAATGCTTCATACACATCACGTGTATTAAAAATGGCGGCCTGTTTATGAATAAGTATTCTTTGTCTCCAGCTATTCAATAATACAAAAACCATTGAAGCAGCCCCACACATAAATTTAGCTGCTAATGTTATTCCTACCCTTTCTTTGTTTTAGCTGATCTTAGAGATACCAGCAGTAGCTTGTGATGAAAAATATTGTAATATTTGTTCTCTCATCATGAATAATTAGGCGAAACCCTAATTGTATTTAAGACATGGCTTTTGGTGAGTTAAGTCGGACTCGGTGGCTTCTAGTCGTCTGAATTCCATCTAAACTTTCAAGTGAGTTTACATTTCTGCTACCTCAAGTGTCTGTACACTTTGTTTTGCAACGCTAACTGGTGATTTCATATATATATATATATATATATATATATATATATATATATATATATATATATATATATATATATATATATATATGTATGTATATATGAACACATTATATTTTGATATTTCTACAGGATGCGCTGTCAAGTTTTTCTGACGTTGCTCTCAATGGTCGGCATGATAGAGGCTGGAAAAACTTGCCTCAACCTACCGCCCGGCCTGTCAAAGATGATAAAGGGGGTGGACGTGTCCAAGCTGGACCTCTTGCCTCTAGAGGTGGTGGGTGAGGATGGGATCATGAGTCCAGTTCTACCTTTAACCTGCCTGAAGAACAAACAGTGGCAGAGTGCGAAAGGCAAGGTGTACGATTTACCTGACCAGGTAGGAGCTAGTTGTGATAACTCACAGTTAAGATGGAACGGTGTGATCAAATGGTAGAGTGATCAGCTGCAAGACAGAAGGTTTCAAAATTAGATCTCTGTCCGGACTCGGAATAGCGGGGCGTTCCTGAGTCTACCCATCTATGATGGGTACCTAACTCACGTTGGGAAAAGTAAAGTTGCTGTTATAGTACTGTCTACACCATACCTTCATTTTTAGCCGAGGTCGAGTATAGTATTAACTCTACTTTATCTGCCCTATGGATCGTTAGATCTGAAAAGGAAGTGTTTTTAACAGATGACGCATTGTCTTTTTATTAAAATATTATACACACATTTAAGCATTTAGTGTAATAATTTAATTCTATTTTTTTTAAAGACAACACGTGATTAAGTGTTTCTTTTGCTCTTCTTTTAAGTTTTTTGAACAATGATGGAAAATACTTTTTAATTATATTACGTTTGATCTTATTTAAAAATGTATTACGTCTAATTTAAAATTTAAATTTAAAAGTAACAAAAATCAACACTCTATATTCCCAATTATTTAAAACCCAAAATACAATTAAAAATAGAATACTCATCATTAACCGTATGTCACTTATCCCAACCATTTTGTCTTTATTTGTGTAAAACAGATCTGGCAAATCTCGACAACACCAGGCGGGTACATGTCCTCCAGCGTGAGCACTCACACGTCCTATGACGAAGTCCGAGACTCCATGGGAGCTAATGTCCAGCTGGGAGGAGAGTTCGGCCCGGTCGCCTTCTCTTTGAGCACATCTTACAAGAAAATGCAAAGCTCCATCACCAACAGCTCAAGATTTGTTTCAGAGGTCACGGCGTTTTCTGGCGCAATCCAAGTAGACTTCAATCCTCCTGAAGAATTAAGCTGCGATAAGTATGCCAATTCATACATCGAAAACACATTGCCTGCAAGTTTTGATTCAGATCCCGCTAGCTATTATAGTTTTATTGAACTTTATGGTACGCACTACTTCGCAACCGCGAACTTTGGTGGGTTCGTCAAAATGCTGTGCGAGACCAAGACTGAATATTTCGCAACAACCTCTGAAAGTGAAATCGAAGTCAACGCTAAAGCTGCTTACTTTGATGTGCTCAACGTTCAGGTCGGTGTGTCCAAAGGGAAGTCAACGGTCAATGAAAATTACAAGTCCAATACCAAAACCTCAATAAAATACTATGGGGGTGACACCAACGTTCTCAGCACACAAGGATTTGAAAAATGGCAGCCGACTGTAGAAAACGACCCTTGGCTTTTCTCTGGCAAGTTGAAGCCCATCAGTGACCTGATAAAAAATACTACAAAGCAAGCTTCAATGAAAAGAGCGGTGAAATTCTATTTGTTAAAGAATTTTCTCAAAGAACAGGATTCTATCCTTAACGGAGCGAGAGCCAAATTTGACAACCCAGTGCTCGGTAGAATAACGAAAAACCTGAATAGAATTTTGTACAGTCAAACGCCAGACGAGGGTGCCGTCATGAGGGTCGCACAGGAAGTTGCCAACTACACAACTGTACCAGTCTGGTTTTTGAACACCACGCTATGCATGAAATGGAAGGCAACAAAAGACGCAGGACAGTGTGCCGCCAAAGGCGTCCCAGCGCAGTTGTGTGCACCCGTTAACTCTATGACGCCGTCGTACTATGACAACACCGACAACAGAGACGGAGGTTGTAAGATGCAATGGGGACTCGTCACAAAAGCTAAATACCCAACCTGGTTTGACATGGTAAGGATATGCTATCAGTGGTACGCGGAGAAGGAGATAGGGCAATGCGGATACGATGCAGGTAAAACCTACTGCGCTAACATCAACAACTTCACCACCGAATACATGGATGACACCGGAAATCGTAAAGGAGGAGGCTGCAGGATGCGATGGATGCTTGAAACACCAGAGTACTCCATAAATCTACCCCATTGGATGAACGTTGTCCAGCTGTGCTACAAGTGGGAGGGAGATGGCGACCTGACCCAGTGTGGAGGAGGGGCTCCTGCCAGCGAGTGTGTGCTGCCCAACATGTGGAGCACCTACTACATGGACTACACGGACGACCGTAAGGGAGGCTGCAAGATGAGCTGGGGTCTCAAGACCGCCTTCTAACATGCTGGAAAAATGCGACATAGCATTTGATATTGAGCATATAGTAGTACTTTAAAACAGAAACAAAATTATCAGTTGTTAGAAAGGAAAAGTTAAAAATAAATTTTAATCAACAATATGAGCCTTTGTTTTTCTATTTTAGCCTACACGGTATAAAAGTAATACTATTTATTTATTGTTATAGTTTAATTTAATATATTTATATTAGATCTATTTCTATAACAAGGTGGAACATTATCTGTCCTCATAACATCTGTCCATTTTATTAACAACATATTGAGATATCACAAAGGGGGAGACAGTGACTCAGAGAACAAAAAGTGTACAAACAATAACAAATAAATGTCCAGTTATTCAAAAAATCGATTAAGGGTTGAAAGCTTGCTCCGTTTGATCTTTACATGTTTATAGGCAGTGAATGCATATTATCATTTAATAGTTGGGTTAGATATACAATTCCATAGTTTGTGAAAACAGAGCAATCAAACTGCCGGTGAAAATAAATATTTCATTTCTAACCCGACCATGGCATTTTTTAAAACGTTGATGAAAATAGATCATTAATAATTGATTATTTAATATTCGGTAAAAATAGTAATCCGGCACTCTTTGAAAATAGATAATATATTATTCTTAGAAAGTAGATCTTTCAGTAGTCGATGAAAATAGAAAATTCAATAGTAGGGGAAAATATAGTCGGTAAGTCTATATAAATCAGGCAACTTTGTCGGATGCCGGTTCTGAAATACAATATATTCTCCGCTGATTGCTTCGAGTGACCAAGTTATTATATTTCCATCGATACTATTTTAAATGGACGCATACTTCATATTTTTCTCACCTCTTATAGCCAATATTTAGTTTATACCATTTTCAACGCCCTTATTTCTTCGATAAAATGCAAATTTACTACATTTATTTGATGCCAAATTGAATGAGGTTACAACAAAAATAAAGAACGCAAACTTCCCAAATCTTTATGAGAATTTTGAAAATATTTATAAATAAACAATGTAGTATACTTGGATTTGGTGCAGGATGCCGATGTATGCCTTGGTGAAGAAGATTACATCGTCGATCTATCAAGGGACTGTTTTATAGCGAAGGAAGGAAGAGAAACTTTGAGAGAAAAATCGTGAAGAACTCGTCTTTAACGTAACAATTTCTGTGGCAGCCCAAAGTGGAATTTTCAAAATAAAAATTTCTGTTTTATGCAATAGTTGACTCTTTGTCAACATAACGGATTATTCTTAAATATAATTTCTGCGCTAGACCATAATAGTTTCTTCAACATCTCAATTTTCATGATAGCCTATAAGGGACTAGTCTCCATCATACATTCTATTGTATCCCAAAATTGAAGTGTTTTCAACATAAAATCTACTCTAGCCTGAAATTGAAGTTTTTCAACATAAATGCTATAGTAGCCAAAAAACATGTGCGTATTTTAACATCAATTCTATGCTAGCCTGTTCAACACAATACTTCTATACTAGCCCATATACTCGTTTTTTACATACCATCTCTAGCCCGTATAATGGAGCAGTTTTTGCTAAACAACATTTATGCTAAATGATCCATGCAAATTATTCACACACTTATCTTTTTCTTTTCAACTTTACTTTACATCTGAACATTTGTTTTTTAATTTAAGCTAAACTGTGATGAATTTTTTTATTGAATATATAGCTAAGGAACATCTGTATCCGCAGACGCGAATATTTCAAAAGAATTGTAACATTTATTCACGCTTCCTAGTTCTCTAGTCAATAACATTTTTTAACTTCTATTTTAGGAGAAACGCCTAGTGTTTATTAGATTACATAGAAAATTTGAAAAATTAAAAAATTGAATATATTAAATTACTAAATGATAAAATTCTCTTTTTATTTATTTTTATAGCGACATAAACATTTCGAAAAATCATTTGTTGAATTTCATTTGTTAACTAGACGACCCAGTTTCCCGTTGGAAAAGGATATATTGTCAGTGTTACGGCACAAAACAAACCAATATCCTATACTCACATCAATATACAGAAAATCGCTAGTCAGTTTCTTACAGTCTTTTGGTAAACAACAACTCAATATAATTTAATTAAAATATCCGAAAATAAAAATCGGAGTAGAGCTTTGTATGAGTACATTTTTTTTTTAAAAACCATCATAATAAATAATTGCTATGCTTAACATTAACGGAAACGGATATAACAATGACAAAAAAAATAATTAAAAAGTGTAACAGATAATTGTGCAAATACAAAATACTTTATCTCTACTACAAAAATAAATGCCACCAATAAATATTAAATGTTAGATATTGGTGGCATTTATTTTATTATTAAAATTATTATGTTAGATAGTATAGACAGAATTGTCAATAATGTTAAAACATAACTTAGATTTAGCATTTAGCTAAAATTCATTCTTAATTTTATTCGAATTGTGACATGCTTTACTTGTATCTAATTTTGCAAGAAAAATAAATGATTGCAGTAGTTTTTATTTATACACTTGATAGGAGTTTGGAGAATTAATTATTTCAATATATTTAACCGTCTAAGACCATATGTCGAAACTCTTTGCATTTCTCTTTCTTGAGTTTAATCATTAAACATTTGTGCCAAATAATCTCTATAATTAACTAGTAAATAGCAGTGTTAAAAATAACATCGTAATTTCCTATTCGGAAGTATATACAACTCACTATTGAGCTTCATTGTTTATCTATGACTTATTTCCTTTGTTTATATCAGATATCCATAAAAGTAATGAATCGTTGCTCTTTTTAACTTTTATTATTTTCACCAACTTTTTTTAATCATTTAATTTATAGAATTTAAAAGAATTTTTACTTTCTCGTATATACGAAGTATAGAGAAAGTCTTGTAATCGTGCAAAAACAAAAATCGAGATTTTTGCAAACCTCGACGTTTTAGGGCTCCCTGAGTAGGAAAAACATAGTTTTGCAATCTTGTCCTTATGTCTGTGTGTGTATGTGTGTGTGTGTGTGTGTGTGTGTGTGTGTGTGTGTGCAAACACGATAACTTGAGTACCGTTACAGCTAGGTTCATGAAATTTCATATAAGTATTACATCAAAATCGTAGATCCGCATCAACTTTTGAGCGATTTACGATAACCGGAAGTGGAACTTTTTCTACTTTCAATTTTTCAAAAGCCTATAACTTGAGTACCGTTTCAGATAGATTTATGAAATTTCACATGTAAGTAAAAGGTCTAATTCTCTGCCCTCTATCAAATTTTGAGTAGTTATCGTTGGAAGGAAGTAGTAATTTACGCTATTTCCTTTTTCTAAAAAAAAGCATGTGAATTTATAAAGTACTAATAATATTGCGCACTATTATGCATATTTTATTTGGCGTTCACTTGGTGTGCAATTCTTTTGTCTACAAGATTCTATTCTATTTAAAAATGCAATAAAAATGAATTAAAAAGCATGTCTATTTCCCGAGTTGCATCCCCTGTTGTTTTATATAAGAATATTCAAGAAAGTTTAGGGGAGATCACTCCTGGTTTATTTTCGTTTATTTATGCGTTTCGTCAAAATGCAGTGGAAATTAAAAATTTAAATTCCTGATGCAGTTATTTCCCTTTTACACTGATAAATTGAGCTGTCGAGCTGGTAAATTTTATATTGATTTTCTAATTTTCTAACTAATTTTGAAAACCTTTTAATATAAATTTTAACGGAATTTTTCTAGTTAAAAAATTGGGTGAAAATAAAAGTTTAAATTATTAACGCAGTTTCTTCGCTTTAATGCTCATGGGTAAAATAGAACGGTAATACGGTTCGATTTTTGACCCCTTATGAGATTCCTGAAAATCTGTATCTGTATTCTGAAAATCTTTACCGAACGTCGCGTATTGTGGCACCTGCAAGTAGTCCATCAAATTCAGGCTCTTACAATATATATATATATATATATATATATATATATATATATATATATATATATATATATATAATATTTATTTATTTATGTATATTTATATACATCAGTCTAGCTCAGTTTTCGGTGATTTGAAACGATTATTGAGATGGCCATCTACTTATCTGTTAATGTCAGATCTAATAGGGTGTGAGGAAAAAACCAACCCCCACTTCACTTTTGTATAAGGTCTTAAATAATTTCGTAAAGAAATGGAATTGTTATTGTGTTTTTATACTAGTTTTTGTTTTAGATTTTTGTTGATTTGGCCTAATCGCCCTAGATTCTAGATCTAATTGTTCTCCAACAGAACTAAAAATTGCTTAAATCTAATTTATCGGCATATCTAGATTAAATCAGTGTATTCTTGAATTAGAATAAAAATTCATAATAGTGTCTGAACCTAATAAAAATAACAAACTGACATATTGTTAAATGTATTGCCGAAAGAAAATTAGCTTAATAATGCGTTCAAAGTTTCAATGGGCAACATACTTCATCTACATAACATACTTTGCAATCATACGTTTATAGCTCAGAGTGGTAGAATTTAATCTTAGAAAGTTTAGCTGTTTACGAATAGTGCTTTCCTTTAAATGGTTGCAGTCATATTTTTAAATGAGTATAAAGCTTTAACACGTTGTTTATATTTTATTTTTTATAAGAGTAATAATTTTTTAGATATTGCAACTATAAAATTGTGTTTATCATTGGCTAATTGTTGAGTAAATCTATATAAGATACATTTTAAAAAAAGCATACTATTTCTAGTATATTTAGCTTAAAAGGTTAAAATGTAGGCTTCATTTTCGAAAACTTGGCAATATGCCTAGGTTAAGCTAGCGTATTCATTTAAAGTAACATATGGTGTTTTTGTTTCGAGAAAAGAATTCATGAGTTAAGAGTCAGCCGTTGGACAAGAAAGAAATTTTTAAAATACTGGATCAGAGGAAAAAAATGTTTAGAATTGCTGGTGCGTAGAATAAGATAAAGAGGAAGAGTAAGGAATACTATAAATAAAATTAAACACCGGATGACGTCAATGCGGGTAAGCTAGGCCATCGACCAAGTCAGTATTTAGTTATGGCATTAATTAAAAGTTGGTTACATATTATGAAATTCGAAACTATATTTCCGTTATTGAAAAAAAATGTGTATAGTGCCAAGTAACATAACGAAGAAAGTAATGTTTTGAGTGTTATATATTTATCTATATGGCTCTGTAGTATTGTGTTTGTTGTATTCTGTTGCGGTTTTCTTGATTTATATGTGTTCTGTTTGTGTTTCTATATGTTTTTGTATTTTTGTGGTTTTACTGTTATTGTTCTGTATTTTTGGGCTGCACAACAATGGCGACCCCATTTTTGTTACTCTTCTAGGCTCAAACGGATTCTGTTCCTCTGTATATGAAAGCGGACGGAATTTTGACGAACGAGGCATATAGTAAAAAAAACTTGACTTGATCGCCATAGTTTAATACAAATAAAGTGTTTATTATCTAAATTAAAAATATTTTTAAAATATTATATAAGGTTATATAAAACAAATTTCATTTCAGAAATGATATTTTTTTATTAAAGTCTAGTGGAATAAGCAATGTCAAAGAATATGTAACATTCTTCAAAAATATTTTGAAAGTTTACAAATTACTTCCCTTAATAGATAACAAAAATATTTCTTCCCTTTAAAAAACATTAAAGCGGTGAAAAATACTTTTGTTTGTTTTGTTTGTTTAAAAAAAATAATTATATAATTAGTATGGATTGATAAAGTGCAATGTGGTAGGTAAAACACGGATATTTTAAATACTGCCTTTTGTTTATTTTATTTTAACGCTGAACGTACTGTTTACTAATTATAGTTTTTAATCAAAAACAGTTTAAAAACCGATCCTAATTATCCTCTGTTTACTTTTATCTGTCGGTTTGCAGACAAGCTTGGGGTATTATAGTAGTTTACTCAATTCGAATATTCTTAAATAAATATATTATAAATTTAATAAATTGTCCCTCAAACCCTGGGATGATTTGGGCACTACAGTTGATTTTCTCATATTTGGCTATCTTTCTTAAAGTTATTCTGTAAAAAGCATCCCAATTCGTATCTTCGTGTCCTCAATCCTATAATATTTTTTTGCAATTTTCTCTACGTGCATCGTACCCTGCATTATTGTTTTTGGTGGGCCTTTGGCTCGCGTGACGTGCCGTTACCATCTCAGTTTCTTTAGCTTCAATATGCTTAATATCTTCTCAAAGAGATCAATCACACATCATTGATCCATTCATCGAAGTTGTTATACTTATTTGAATAAGTATATTTATTTGAATAAAATCGTGTATGATTTAAAAAAAAGTTAAATGAGCCTTTTGAATAATTTCGAGACTATTCTCGGTTTAGTCCAATCGAGCAAAACCATGTACATTATCCAGGCTGGTAATTTGGCTTTCGGCAGTCATCTTATTTGCACAAACAGGCATTTTGAAACTGGTTGGTCTTCCTTGTTAAAATGAAACAAATGCAACATTTATTAACAGAATAAATGTGCTATTTTGCTTCAGTGATGCCTTCTTAAAAATAACATTTAATAATGTAAAACGTAGGCCTATCTAACTCTTGAAACTAAAATAAAAAGCATTTGGTCGAAAGAAAATGTCAGCCGCCGGGTGCTCGTCATACGTCAACAACATGTCACACTACATTTGAAGCACACCCACATATACCATTACATATTAATTTTATTTCTTTCGTCTTCTTGTTCAAACAGATCTGAGAGACACCATGAGGGTGAGAAGTAAAGTCATGTAAATATCTCCCTTTTATCTCGTATAATTATTCGACATTTGTGTATAAGATGAGATGCATTGTGGGTTGTTTCTGACTCAGTGGCTGTAGGGCAGCTGAGTGTTTTGTTCGAGCAGGTGAGTTGGTTGTCACAAGTTTGTAACTTTTTGGTTGACGTCCTATCTACCTTCAATCATGATATTTTACGCATTAGTTTTCGCAACAAGCTGGTTCAGGTCTTCAAGTTATGGGACCAGTCAAGTTATTGTATTTACTTTTATCATTTAAGGTTGCAAATCAGGCTATAGTATTTCAACAGTTACTGCTTCTACCTTATTTGTTTAGGGCCGTATTTTGGTATACTAAAGTTTAGTGTTTGCGCCTAGATAGTTCAATTTTTTATCTTAGATTGTGGTAGCTTACAAGTATTGTTAACAATGTTAACATTCAAAATAGACATGTTTGTTGCATTAACGTGTAGTCTATGTGCCCTATACCGTCATCTACTGTCTAGCTATAAAAATTACATATTTAAATCAATAATGTACTTAACATTTTTCAAGTTAATATTAAAATATAAAACTTACTAACAACTTAACGGTTGTACTATTTGATAAACATTAACGTATTTTTGAAGTTTCTTATTTGATACCTAAATTTGAACATTTATGTGAGGATGCAATGCTGTATCTTTATAATCTCGCGTCTCTTTTTGTGCAGGTTACAATGATTTTCCTGCACCTTTTGACGATCTCCGCCATTCTCGGGTCGCTGGAGGCTAAAGCATGCACCAGCCTACCCCCCGGGCTTTTGAGACTTGTCAAAGGCGCCGACCTGGCGAGGCTTGACCTGTTACCTTTGGAACCCAAAAGCGATTCGGGGCTAGTGTCTCAGGTTTTGGCTCTCACCTGTGACGATGAAAATCAATGGAAGAGTGCAAAGGGCAAGGTTTACGACCTACCTGATCAGGTAGGCCTATGTTGAGAAAGAAAAAAAAATTATTTTTACTTTACTCAATTATGAACTTGACGCATTATTGCCGTGAATGATTTCTAACCTCGATGTATTTTTACTTTTACTCTTTATTCACTTAGGTCTGGCAAATAACATCAGTCCCTGGTGGGTACATGTCTTCTGAGGTGACCACACTGACAACCACCACCCAGGTACGAGACTCTCTGAGTGCAAGTGTTGGGGTAGAGGGCGAGTCCGGCCAGTTTGCCTTCTCCACAAGTGTCTCTTTCAACCTAATGCAAAGCTCTATCACAAACAGCTCCAGCGTTTTGTCTGTAGTCACGGCGTTTTCCGGAGCTGTCAGAATAGACGTCAACCCGCCACAAAATCTGCAGCTAGACGCCGCGCCACAAAAATACATTGACACCAATCTGACCGGTTCGTTTGAGAGCAACCCTGATGCTTACTATAAGTTTATTAAAACCTACGGTACGCATTACTTCTCAAGAGGTAATTTTGGGGGTTATATTAAAATGGTATGCGAAACAAAAAGCGATTATTTCGCCACGACTTCCGAAACCTCGATAGAGACAAATGCTCAAGCGTCATACAATGAAATGATCGCCCAAGCTGGGACCTCCACACCGCTGAGTTCAAAGGTTGATTCAACCTATAAAAATAACACCAAAACTTCGATCAAGTTCTATGGTGGTGACACTGCATTGATAGCTAAAGAGGGTTTAGGAAAATGGCAGCCATCCGTAGAAGACAATCCTTGGTTATACTCTGGCAAGCTAAAACCCATCAGCGATTTGATAAAAAATGCCACAAAGAAAGCAGAAATGATAAAAGCTGTTGAGTTCTATATGTTAAAAAATCAACTTGACTCTTTGGAGGCTCAGATGATTGGGACTAAGGCGAAGTCGGATAATTCGATGATTAACCAACTGTTGGGTGATGTCCAGTTACAAAAGAAAAAGCAGTTTCCTTCATCACTCACTGTACGCGCATTAACACTTAATTTTGCTGAGTACTGCACGATTCCGGTTTGGTTTCAAAAGGCCAAACTGTGTATGACCTGGAAGGGAACAAAAGACGCGGCTCAGTGTGGTGGTCCTGGCGTCCCAGCACAGATCTGTGCCCAAGTCAACAACATGACGCAGTGGTACCTTGACAACACGGACAGCAGACAGGGGGGTTGTAATATGTCATGGGGACTATTGGCATCCGGCTTTGCTGGTTTTTTTGACAATATAAGGATTTGTTATCAGTTCTCCGCTGAAAACGACCCAGCTCAGTGTGGTAATGCTATAGGAGGCCAGTTCTGCTCTCCAGCTACAAACAGCTTCACGACGCCTTACTTTGATGATACGGCCGGACGCAAAGGTGGATGCAAGCTGCAATGGATGCTCAAAGCACCAACGAGCGTAGCTCCGATTTGGATGCAGGCTGTTCAGCTGTGTTTCAAGTGGGAAGCTGATGGTGACGCAGCTCAGTGTGGAGGCGGAGCTGCCAATAGCCAGTGTGTGAGCGTCAACCAGTGGACAAAGTTCTACACCGATACCACAGACGACCGTAAAGGGGGCTGCAAGATGAGCTGGGGATTGAAGTCCGGCTTCTAATACCAAGAGAAAAAAAACTGTAGCCTTTAAAGAAGACAGACAAATCAACAAATCATATTTTTTTGTAAACAAAATTCTAGTTTATAACGCAAACATTCGCCAAGCAAGAAATTATTCGAAAACGTACTTTATTTAGGTGTAAATTCAAATAAAAGAAAACATTATTTGAGAAAATAAATCTAATTGCTAAAATTCCAATGCTTTTTTTTTGTTTTATGCTGTTCTGTTTACATTTGATTTATCAGATAAATTGCAGTTTCTGACATTCTTTGACGCTTTATTGCCAGTAACCCGTCAAGGAGAGAAAACTTCGAACTCGAAGTATCTCTTCATTGCAAAGGCCAAAGGGAAAAATTGTATAGAATGGGTATACTTATTTTAAGATTTGTGCTAGAATACACTGAAAATATTTGACTGATAACTTACGTAAAACGAACCAAATTTGAGGAGTACGACTTAAAATTCAATCGTTTAATAGTTTTACCTTTCCAAAAAAAAAGCAATCTTTCCGTATTTAAAATTGAAGTCATTGAAGCCAATGTACATTTAAAGATTGTATACATTGTTTTTTTTTTTTAATTCGAGCCTTACCAACTCAAGCGATGTTGCCAGCTGTTAGACCTGTGACTATTCACCAGCTTGTTTAAAAATGGGTTTATTTTGGTCGAAAGGTGACATACTATCTAGGAATAGGGCGCCGAACTCGTGACTTCCAAATTATTAATCACGGGCTCTACCGCTAGACATTATGTTTCAAATGCTTCTTGTCTTAATTATCAACCCAACAAATTCAGAATGAATCTGAATGTACTTCATTCTCAACTATAATCCCGAAAGTTTGAGGACATGAATTATTTTACCTTGGTCTTAAATACTCACCTGAAAAATTTCAGGATATAATAGAATGGACCTAGGTCTAAACTACCCACCACACATATCTTGATAATACAGAATGGACCTTGGGGGTCATCTATAAATGTCGTCACGCTTTTTTAACGATTTTTACTCCCCCACCTCCCCTCCGTAACACATCGTCACAAAAAGCCAGCCCCCCCCCCCTAAAATGAATATATATATATATATATATATATATATATATATATATATATATATATATATATATATATATATATATATATATATATATATACTAGCGTACCCGACCCCCGCGCATTGCCGCGGGAATAGAAGAAAGTTTGACGAAATATATTTGGATTTTACCAACGCGTTATCAATTATAATTATATGTTCTTAGACGCGTGACTTTCTTTTCTAACTCCCTAAAGTTTCATGGAACTCGGATGAACCTTATCCGAGTTTTAATTTTTATATACAGTGTATAGAGAACAAAAATCGCTCCCCCCGGGGGGCGCCGCCCTTGCAATATTAAACAATATTTTTTTTGCAAAACCTTACCATTGAGTGATCTAATCATCTCCCCAAAGTTTCATGGTACACGGATGAACGGTGTGAAACCGAAATTTTATAAACCGTATATAGAGAAAAATCGCACCCTTCCGTGGCGCCGCCCTTGCGAAATTAAAAATGATTTTTTACAGAACCCTTCCCTAGAGTTTTATAATTATATATATATATATATATATATATATATATATATATATATATATATATATATATATATATATATATAAAATAATATATATATATATGTATATATATATATATATATATATATATATATATATATATATATATATATATATATATATATATATATATATATATATATATATATATATATACTATGCATACTGCCTAGCTTTGCTTAGGTTTTCAAAAACATTTGAGAATTTGAATATTTAATTATCTAGTGACGGTTGAGGTGTGGAGTGCTTAAATGTAAACAGTAATGCTAATTTTAGAGAAAATGTTTTTTTTTTTTAAATACTTTTATTTGCAATTAAAACAAGTACATCAACATCAAATTTTTTAACATAATTTTGAACACCAAATGAAAACGAAAGGTTTTGCAAATGTACATAATGAATATTTACATGATGTCATGTATTTGATTATAAAAAAAAATTGCAAAGGATGACAGTAAAAGGGGTGAAGGTCAAATGAAAGTGTCAGAAGTCTGGGTGGGGAGAGGAAAGGAAATTTTTCAGAGAGGGTCAATGGGACAGTGAAGCATTTTCTATGTAGGGAAACAACTTAAGTTGACTAGTTGAAAGGGTGTTGTAGTGGTCGCATTGAGTTTTCAAAAGGTTGCAGTGTGAAAGATGAGGGGAAAGAGACAAGATTTAGAACTTTAAATAAGTTCTGGATATTGATGTTGCGGTGGGTGGTGGGGTCGTTGGAACAGTTAAAGGGATTGTGGGGTTATCATGTCTGGGGGTAAAGTGGATAGAGGGGGAGAGAGGAGGGGGTAGATTTTTTTTTATTTCTATTTTTATTAATTCAATTGTTTTAAACATTTAAATCAGTAATAATAATATATTTGATAGATTTTACATAGCATCAAAGACATGAACAGTGAACATCAATTGCATATATAATAATCAAAGGGAAAAAATGAAATGGCATAAGAACTAGATTAAAATAAGGTGTGCAAACTAGGTTTCTCTTCACTGCTTAGTTTAGTGTGCTGCGGAGTCAAAAGTTCACACTGTAGCCACCCATGGACAGAAATAGAAACGACTGTGGGAGAAGTGTCTTTGTAATCACGTACTGACCTATCATTCCAAAACTTTCCATGACATAAAATTGACCCTTGGCAATGAGGGCACGCTACCTTGAAATGTCCGCCAGTCCGGTTGAGTGGGGGGGGGGGGGTGTGTGTATGTGTTGGGGGGGGGGGGGGGTTGAGGTGGGTATCTCTTTCTACCATTCAGGTTGTGCATTTTAAAACCCGGTAAACAGAAGACTGTTCTAATGTTAATTTACTTTGGGGGCTGATCGAGTGATGTTTGGCTTGAGACTGTCTAAATTAAAATTAATACTTTATTTATTTCTTTCCTGTATATTTCTTTTTTTTTCTCAGTTAAGTGAGAGTTCCCAGTCTATGTCTTAGCTTTTCTTGAATTATTTCTTTTAACTCGATGTCCGTGTATTTTGTGAAAAAATATCTGACTTTATTCCTAATTTGCCATATAGTCGATCTATAAATAGCCATTGCTACTAGTCTGTTTTCGTCTTCTGTTCTTTGTCTAGTCGTGTTAATTAAATTAAGTGTGATTGCTTTATTTGTTGTGGCTGTTTGATTGGTGGTGTTTAATATTTTCGCAAGTGTTTGCTTTGTTTTCTGTACTAATATACAATCTAAATATGTGTTTCTCAGTTTCTTGTATATTTTGTTTACACGTTTGACATGTTATTTTAACATTTTGATTTGACTTTGTATTTCGTGAAACTGGAGTTGTGTTAAAAACCAGTCTGTATGCTATTTCCCTTTCTTTTGGTGTAATGCGTTTATTATGTAGGTTTCTAAAGGTATCTTTAATGTCTATTATATTGTGTTCCCTGGCCCAACTAATTCTCGTGTATAAGGGTGTCGCTTGCAGAGTTTCTTCCAGGCATCTCTTCGGGGGGGGGGGGGGGCGAAGCGTATGCAAGTATTTTCTTGCCTACCATGTTTGGAATGTACAGTCCTTTAATCGAGTTGTCCTGTCTAATGTTTTCTAGTAGGGGTTCTAAGCTTAGGATGTATAGTAGGGGAGATAAAGGACAACCTTGTCTAACTGATTTCTGTATGTGAAAAGCGCTTGTAACACTGTTGTTTATTAATAAATGACTATGTGCATTGTTATATATTATTTTTATCCATGTTTTAAAATAGTGTCCTAGGTTGTAAGCATCTATTGTTTTTATTAACCATGTATGATCTACTCTGTCGAACGCTTTCTGTTGGTCGATGCTAAGAATCGCTAGTTGTGTGTCTTTCTGCGTGCTATAATGTATGATGTCTCTGATTAAGTGCGTGTGGTTGTGTATGTTTCTACCTGGTATGCTATACTGCTGATCGGGGTGTATTAATTTAGAAATGAAGGGTTCGAGTTTCTTAACTAAAGTTTTTGTCAATATTTTATAATCACTGTTAAGTAAAGATATAGGTCTGTAATTTATAATTTTTGTCCTGTCCGTATCATTTTTGGGAATGAGTGTTATATATGCCCTGTTAAAATCTGTAGCACAATCCTCTCTTTCATGTATGTCCTGAAATGTAGCGTGTAAAAGGAGTATTAAGTCATTTTTGAAGGTTTTATAAAATTCATTGGTTAGTCCGTCTGGTCCTGGAGCTTTATTTAGTTTTAGTCCGTCTATAGCCTTGGATATTTCCTCTTTAGTAATTGGCGCGTTGATTTTGGAACAGTCATTGTTGTCTAGACTTGTTGTGTACTTAAGATAATGTTCTTGTATTTCATAGTCTGTATCTTCCTTATTGAAGAGGTTTTGATAGTATAAAGTAAACTGACGTTATATACTTTCCAGGTCATTTGTTATAGTCCCGTCGTCATCTGTTATGCTACATATCTGTTTACTGTTGCAGTGTATTTTTTCCAAAATTGTGTTGTAATGGGAGGGGTCTTCGTTGCCTATCATGTCTATTCATCTGTTATGCTACATATCTGTTTACTGTTGCAGTGTATTTTTTCCAAAATTGTGTTGTAATGGGAGGGGTCTTCGTTGCCTATCATGTCTATTCTACTACGTATTAGCGCTCCCTTGTGTCTATGTGTTTGTATTTTGTTTAATTCTGATTCTACTTTTTCAATTTTGTCCTGCGATGCATTATGACTGATTAACGTATCTAGTTGTCTGTCTAGTAGTTCTTCCATAATTTTCCTATCTGTGTTTATTTGCCTGGCTATTTTGATAGAGTATTCCCGTACCATATATTTAAAATCTTCCCAGAGCTCTAGTGCATGTGTGTTTGATGCTCTCTGTGTGAATTCTGATGCTAGCTTCCTTATTTCTGTGATGTATTCGCTATTTTCTAGAAGCGTGTTGTTGAGTTTCCAATATGCATTCTTTGTTCTGTGAGTGGGGTTAATTTGTATTTGAGCAATAACTATTTTGTGGTCTGTAAATGTAAGTGTCTGAGCGAGGTGTTTTATTTTGTTTACCGTTATGCTTTCATGAGCATATATTCTGTCTAGCCTAGCTGCGCTATGATGTGTTCTGC